AAATAAGGATTTCAAATTTTAAAAATATTACTAATAAAGTTACTTTCACACAATTCTATTTTAAATTTTGTTAAAAAAGTTACTTTTGAGTCTAATTTTATTTATAAATTCAACAAAAAGGTTTGAAAAATAAAAAAATAATTATTTAAATCATCATCATCAATTGATATTTCGAAAAGAAATGGGCGAAATCTTCGATTTGTTTTAATTTTTGCCATGATTACGTTTAGTATTAGCTTCTGTTGCGACGCGTTTCATCATATTTTCAGATGTTGTTCATACGCCTCGCCGTATCACATGAAAAATACAGCTAGCGCGCAAAACGAGTAAAATGAGCAAAACCTTGTTGTTGTTGGAACAATCCGTGCATGAATCACGTTTGTTGTATATTTAACGTATTTGTTGTTTTTCTATTATAAAATTAGCATGCTTTTGTTGCTATACAACCTGTAAGCAGCCACGATTCTGAATTATTTAATAGTATACAGTATAGTACTGTGCACATATATGGCGAGTAGGTGTACCGGCTATTACATATTTATGTATATGAAAAGTATTTTATGTGCTGCTACACTTAAATTGTGTATTCTTAGATTTCGAAAGTTTTTGTCTGCCAAGCGGGCTGCCAATTGGCGGGAGGATGCGGCTGGCGAGCAAAAGTTGAGTGTTGATGTCGGCATATCGCGAGTGATATGATTTCTTGATGATATTTTCAACATAAAATATGGCAATATTAAATGTATCTTTGACAGAAAATGGTAAAAGATAGCGCTTGAACGCACATGGAGTAGACTTATGGGCAATTGTGGGTAGTTTTATACATACTTGAAGATCAGTAAGAAACTTGCTGATATTTCATAGATCCGAAATTTTTTTCAGCTACATAAATTTCTCAATAAAAAGCGTCATTAAACATTATTAAGGAAGATAACGAAATAATAACAAGGCAAAGACAAGTCTTTAATTATATTGTGTGCTCGTTTGCCTTTAGGGTACTCAGCAAGCTTTACGACCTACACATTCGTCTGAAATTATTCCAGTCACTAAGAACATGCATGCCGCGCATACAAAAATATTTATAAGTAAAATTTCGCAAATTTTTGAATTTAATTAATTTATTTTATATTATTTTGCTCGGAGCACACGTTCTTTATCGCTGTTTAACAAGCGAGTTGTGTTTGAAGCAATTCGTTTTCGGAATGTAATTACAGATTACATTTTATGTTTAATGTTTTTTTTTCATGTTTTCCAACGCTTGGCGCAAAAGCTCGCCAGTAAATTTCTTAACGACATTATTAACTCATAAACAATCGCCTTGATTATGTCATTAACGAGCGTGAAGAGTTATAATGAGAAGTATGGGCGACGAGCCTTATGGGCCTCACTGAAGCTGGCCACTTGAGTCGGCACTGGCAGCGCTGAATTCTCACGGTCCGTATTGCAAAGAGGCAACACAAACACAAACTGAAAATATGAAAAATAAAGCAACGCACACACATACGCACATGTGCGTTCATAAGCACTAT